ACCATGGGCTAACTTTAAGTTAGTTATAGGAAGCAAGAGAGGCTGTTTAGGTTTAGGTTTAGATTAGGTACTTAGGTTAGTTTAGATTTAGTCATGTTAGCGATGTTAGCACTAAGGACCCATAGATTAAGTAACAGTAAGAAGTTTGTATACTTAGCTGAAAATAAATATGTTCCAAAGCAGTCGGATTTTATAAAAATATTTGCCTGTGAAATTAGAAAAAAAGATAAATACATTTAAAAAAAATTATCCGCAATAAAGTTTCCTTACAGTTCTTCCTGTAGGCGCTTCATATTTTTGATTTTCGCGGTATTTTTCAATATTCAACTAAATTTTAACCAATCGCCTTGCTCATGTAAAATAAATTTAAAAATGTAACGGTGATTTCATGTGTGTTTTCCAAATGTTCACTCACTTCGACTTTAGGAACTTTTTGCTTTAAAGTGATTTGACCCGAAACCAAATTCCCAAAAACTTGTAATTCTAGCCAGACCGACAAAAGATCTATCCGACAAAGCCCGAAAACTCCAACTTCGATTCACATGTGTGTTACACGCGTTCATCTACATGCCCTCCTATTACCATATGTTGGCAAAGAGTGTTTCGAAACGAACGAACGAATAAGTAGGGTAAAAGGACGCGCATTCCCTTCACCCGAAAAGGATTATCCGGGATATTTATCCCGGCACCTTTCTGGTCTCCTGCTTGAGTTATCCAGAGTTGATCTCCCACGCCGTCTGGATATGACTTTGATATAGGAAAAGTAAAACGTCTGTCTATCTTCGGTTTAACTATGTTGTTTCACATGTCGTTGACCTGTTTTGATGGTTTTTCGACCGCATATTTTGGTAATAGTTTGCGGGTGTTTCTGGGTCCTTATGTTGCGGTCAACTAAGCAATATTTCCTAGGTATTTAAATCAAATTTTTCACAGCTTTGTTCAGTCGGTTTGGGATTTAAAATGCCTCTCAATCAGTTTGTTAGAGATCCTGCTGCTGATCAGCTGCTGCATTATGCAGCTGAACATCAGGTAAGAATTTTATATTTTTGTCCCAAGTTTATTTGGCATCTTATTAATTTGTCCGCTAAAAAATCTGTTAAAATCCGTCAATTTTAACCGATTTTTTCGGGTTTTACTGATAAGGCAGAATAGCATTTTGCGTCGGAAACATATCCTTTACCACTAAATGAGTCAATTGTATCTAGGTTTTAAAATCAATTTTAAAATTAAATTAATGCACCGTTACATTCGTAAATATTAGTTCCGTCCTCAGGCGTGGCTAGACATTATGGGCAAATTTTTTTAATTAGCAATTTTTCTGTTATTTCTCATAAAATTGTTATTTGATAATGTCGGAGCCACTTCATCAGCTCAATCTGAAAGCGTAACTTAAGATTTCAAGAATTTTCATGTTAGTATTTTAAAGCAGCATCAGCCCAATCTGAAAGCTTTAATTACTTTTAAATAGTCGTCACATTAATTGAAAACACAGGATTCTCAATTTCAGAAGTTCAATAATTATTTACTTTTTTATTACATAAGCTTATGAGTTTTTATCATATTTTTTTTCATGCGCTATTTTTCCTGTGCGTGGATGTTTTATAGACTTAGCCATTTAAGGCCTTGCGTCTTTTGTGCTGGTAAATCGAGGGTACCTGGGTGAGGGTGTTGGGGGGTTTGCTTTTCAGCGGAGGTGTGTTGTGTTAGTGGTGGTTTTTTTGGGCGGTTTTGTGGCTTTTGAAACTAGAGGGGGGAAAGTTTTTTTAGGCTTTTATGGCTCCAGGAAGCGATTTGCGCGGGGGGCGAGTTGGGGGGCTGTTGAAAGTCAAGCGTTTGTTGTTGGGGGTTTGTTGGTCAGTTCAGCTACGGTGGGTGGTTTTCCAAGGGGGGTTTGCCATGAGGCTAGTTGGTGTACGGTAGTTACGTTTTGGGATTTTTTGGGCGAAGGGGGATTTGATTTTTGGATGTAATAGGACGCGGGCTTTGAACTTGTCGTGAAGCCTCGAAATGAAGTCCTCAATGGTTTCCATTTCGAGGTTTGCATGTATCTGGGAGTTGCGGACATACCAGGGGGTCTCGTCATTCGCCGGAGGATTTTGTTTTGGAATCTTTGGAGCTTGGTAATGGCAGATTTGGAGGTTTGGCTAAGGATGGGGGCAGCGTA